CTTCAATAACTATATTTTGAATTCTCTTTTTCACAGTGAGAAAAATAAAACTATTACATGCAATTAATTCCACTTCAAACATATAAATACAAACACTCACCTTATAACTTTTTCAAAGAAACAAGGTGTTGCAGAGATAATAACAAATTCAAAAATTTTTCATTCGAAGTCTATTTGACCAGGTAATCCAAAACATTGCTAGATGACTTCATATTGTTTGGCAGTAAGCTATTGTTACCAATCATTTTAAAGAAAAACTTTCAAATTCTTATTTTTAATCAATATATATGAAATGTTCCTTCACTGGGTTGTGTTCCTTCACTGGTTGGTTTACCCTATCTGGATGTAAAATTTTCCGTATTGTGGGAAATAATTATTCTTTTGAAATAAAATGTTTCAACCTGCTTAATAATTTATGTGTATACTTTAAAGTGTTTATATATTTACAGACCTTGTCTTCTTGTGTAAAAGAAGAGATTAAAAATTCCGAAGAAAACTTTTCGAAAGTATTTTCTGAATTACGAGTTCCTTTAAATGTCTTAAATAGGTAACGTATCATCCTGATTCGTAAGCCTTTCCTGTCTTTAAACTTTTGTAAATCAGTTACAAGTTAGGGTGGGGGGGGGTTGGAGAACCTTTTTTTCCACTTAGGGAGAAATTAGTTTAGCTCCTTCTGATAAATTATAATTTATTATTTTCGGGTACTCATCGTGCCATTTTCTATTTTTTTTAAAAAAAAACTTTAAACTATTGTTTTGATTTTGAACTTTATTTCCAAAACCCACCCATATAATTGACGTTCTTCATTCGGGTATCAGGCATGCGGATAAGTTGATCCCTATTTCATGGGCACCATATCTAGTGTGCCAACGTTACCCCACATTAAAATGGACATGGATTGTTATGAAAAATGGAATGGAATGTTTAAAATGAATGTTTCCTTGAAACGTAATGGAATGTTTAAAATAAATGTTTCCTTAAAATGGAGTACCAACTATGAAGAATTTATATCTGACAGAAGTCTTTACTATTTACTTATCATTTTGGGAATGGACGTAAATTGAAAGTCAATTTTCTAAAATTTTTAAGTGTTGAAAAAAGTTCATCCCCACTCCAATTTTTACATATTGAGGGTATCTTGCATTTGGTGAAGTGCAGTAATGAGTTATTTCGGTCTGAAGATATTATATCTTGAAACTAAGTAGTTTCAAGATATAAGTTACTGTAGTTAGGCGGAGAGAAAAACCACGTAAATCTCCCACGGACAGTCTCGCGGCAAGAGGACTCTAACCCATGATCCGTCTACCACTGAGACTATTTTGAGTCTGCACTGTGGTAAGCGTGAGAAGTCATATAGACCAGCCATCGCTGGGATTCAAACATGGGAAGCACATGGGAGGTTTTTAAAAAAAATGAATTAACTTTCGGTTTTTTGTTTACAACTTATTGCACTCACGTACCTCCCCCAGAAGAAATCAGTCTCCCCTTCAGCTTTCCTGTTCTGTTTAGACGGCTCATCTAGTCAATTCTGGATTGTTAAATGCTACGCCATTAGTCATTAAAATGTGAAATAGCGATGAGAAACTCACATAAAAGATGAAAATAATTTCTACTAAGATACAATTTTAACATTTGGAACTCTGATAGTTCAAAATGTTATGCAGATTTCGCGTTTTTTATTTTGTAAAATAACATACAGTGGTGATTACAAAAGAAGAGCTTAGTTGAAGAACCAGGTAGTGACATTTTTAGAGGTATTTATAAATCAGTGAAAATAAAATAAAGTGGCTACATCGATGAAATATTTTTGCTTTCACTTTAACATAACTAAACCTCATCAGTTTGGAGAATGCTTGCATAATTTTTATTTTCGTTCCGGCTGTAGCAAATAAAATAAAACAAAGAACTGTTACCCAACTTTTTAACAAATTAATTATAAAATAGAGTTCAGATACGCATTTTCTTTCTTATTACCATGATTATAACCTCTCTGAAAATGTCACTTACCTGGTTTCTCCACTAAGATCTCCAAATATGTCAAATGAGCTAAGTTCATCTTTTTACTGTTAGCACAATTTAAAGTTTTTCAATCTATCTCACGTCATAAAACCTGTTTCATAAGAAATATTTATGTACACTTTTTTTAATAAACTATTATATGAATGTGGAAAACTTTCAGGTTTCTTTTAAGACTTGCTATTCCAAACTGTCGCAAAGGAGTGCGCTCAAGAGAAACAAGCAAGGCATGTTTTACTCTCATTCTATGATTTTTCTCTTTTAAGCGCTTCATATCGTATGTTTAAATATAATTGTGTGTTACAGTCAATGTTGATCAAAAGTATGGATAATTGGAGGAAAGGATATCGACGTTTAGCTAAGTTAATGGTGTCGGAAGACCGAATTCCAAATGAAGATCTTCTCTTTTTCATGACAATGGATGAAATCAGAGACTTGTTGGAAACGAGATATCCAAAAATTATAGCTAGGTAACATTACAGTGAAAAAGTTTTAAAAAAATTCTTGGTTTTATTAAATTTATATGCAATATGTTATTCACCCTTAATATAAATATTTTCAGAATTTGTTACTATTTACTACCATTTTTTTAAATATTTTGGCGAATCTCAAATATGTGGTATCTCTGTTACTTTACTCATTAAAAATGCCTCCACGAAGGGTACTGGGCGTCTGTGGCCTCAGAAACATACATGACAAAATTAAAGTTTGGGTAGCCAAATACGAAGGTAACTATTGTAAGGTTACATTTCATATGACACTTTGAATTTCTAATATGCAGTGGTGGACAAATTGATTGAAATAAAAATTGAAAAACTTAAAATAACACAAATTTCGTCATCAC